ATCAACTTAATTAAATAAATCTAATATTCAAAATAATGAAATAATGTTGGCATAACATATTTCGTTTAAATAGTCTAGTGTCAGATTAAATTATTTTGTGAGTTTTACTATAACAGACAACCCATAAAAACAGCTAAAATCATAATTATGTAAATTATAACACGTTCCATCACATGACCCGTGCTACACATTATCAACAATAGTTTAGTAAATAAAAATTGTTTTGTATCGATTGAGTAATATACGTCCGTTTTAAAAAATTCAAATTGTAATATGTGCGGAAAAATATATTTTTATTATACATATGCTTTATGTAATAATATAAATTTTAAAGAAAATAAGATAATATAAATATAGTAGAGAATAATTTGATTTATTAGGGTGAGATTTTAGAAAATTCTATTGAATGTAATAAATACTGATTTCCAGTTTTGCAATTTTTATTATAATGTAATTTTAAATTTTACTTTAAACTTTTGTTATTCATTCAAATGGCAATGGTTTATGATTGCAAATAATACAAAATAAAAGGTTACTTTCCAAAAGGCACTTCAAAAATGTTCATATAGATTCTAACTTGATGGCTCGAGTGTTTTGTTAATAACTTACACAATTATAGTATTCTAACCCGCACGCTAAGTGCAAAAAATAGATATTACTAAATTGTGAAAGTTAATCTATATTTTAAAAAATAGATATTACTAAGTTGTGAAAGTCAATGAAATGATTTAGGGTATGTAATAGGATTATTTTAATGTAGTAGGAGTATTACTAAGTTGTGAAAAGTTATTGTTTAGTTCAATTCTAATTTTTTTTTGTTTTTGTTTTGTTTATGTGATAAGAGTATTTTCTAGATAGGGATCTTTGATCCGGAAAGTCTTTTAATGAAGTAACTAGAGATAATGTTAGGCAGAGGATGCTAAGGTAAAACCTATAATTCGATATCTTTATTTTTTTTGTTTTTTTCTTTGTTTATTATTTATTGATATCTTGATTAGTTAGTTAGTTTGTTTATGAAATTTGGTATGAGTATTCTGGAAACATAAAACTAAGTTATGGTAGAAAGGCATCTAACTTCGAGTTTAGGAATATAGATGGACGACGTTGTTCCGAGTAGTTAATTGATTAATCGTCAATCATAAATAATTTTTACCTAAATATATTGAATATACCTACGCGTAGCATGAGTTAAAAACCTAGTATACTCTATATAAAACTCAAAGCCATAAGCTTGTGAGACCCGTCTACATGGGATTTTGTAACGCCCAAACTGTACCCTCTCATAGTAGATCCTAGGCTTGGGAAAAAAGCAGGAAACCAATTAACCGATTAGATCTATTAAATCTTTTAGGAATCAGTTTGGTTTCGGTTTCGGTTAGTAATCGAGTTACTGAAGTATGTATAGCCAAAATAACCTAAGCGCATATATATATGATACATATATGATATATATATATAAATACCGACGTGAATCTTGGTCAAAACTTGTTAAAAATTATGTTAATTATTAATCTTTATCGTGAATAAAACTCGAGAAAGAAGGAAGTATAATCCGCAACCACTGAATTATACTTCGAAAGCTGGTCATGAAGGATGAGCTTGACTCCGGAAGTGATGCAGCGCATCCTTACTTGTGGGCTTGGTCGTTTGCTTTCTTGGGCTTTAAGCAACCAACATAGGTGTTGTGTCTTTTATTTTCCTTAATACGTTTGGATTTTTACTTTAATAAAGATAAAAACATAGTGAAATTTAACTTAATTAATCCTCTAATATTGATCATTACTAGAATGACACAATATTAATGTAAAAAGACCAAAAAACCTAAACTTCAAAAATGGAAATTAATAGAGAAATCTGTCACACTTATATTAAGTCTGTCATAATAACCTAATCAAATTTATACAAAAACAAACGAAAAACATCAAATAAAAAATAAGATATATAGAAATAAAAAGTTTATAGACATTTCCAAAAATACATAATATAAAATTAAACAAAATATAATTTTTTTTATTTATAAATGTTTTTCTTAAATTTATAAAATAAAATAAGAATAAATCTAAATAATTTTTTTTCCTAAATAAAATAAAAGAGTAATAAATTTCAAAATTATAATAAATATTAAAATATATAAATTTAAAATTTAAGAACTGGCAGAGAGCGAGGCAACATCATGGTTTGCTGCGCAGTCTGGGGAGAATGCCGAGAATGAACCTGGGATACCGCGTGCTTTATCTCACGCTTACGACGTTCCTAGGATTGATTATCCAGGCTACACATGTTTTGTGGATGGATCTTGGAAGGATAGTGACACTTTTGCAGGTTTAGGCAGGTATTGTACGTCTACAACTGGTGAACACACGATGGGTGCAGGTAACCTTCGAAGGAGTCTATCGCCGTTACATACCGAAGTCGAGGCCCTAGTGTGGGCAATGAAATGTATGATTGCAGCAGAGAGACGTGAAGTGACTTTCATTACAGACTGTTCAGACCTGGTGGAGATGGTGTCTTCCCCAAAAGAATGGCCGGCGTTTGTCACATATTTAGAGGAAATTTACGCGGATAGGGAAGTATTTTTTTCTTCTTTTCTTTTAGTAAAAGTTTCTCGTCGATCTAATATTAAAGCGGATTTGTTAGCACGTCGGGCACGTGTCGAACCGCTGAGTTGTTTGTATGTAAACAATGTTCCTACCTCCTGGCTCGTTTGAGTCATCTATATTATTGATGTTGACAAAAAAAAAAATTTAAGAACTTAAAAATAAAAAATTATTTAAAAATAATAATTAATCATTATTAGTCTCACTAACTTCGTTATTCTTCAATTTAGTCACCATTTAAAAATAATTATTTTTTAACGGTTATTTTTTATAAATTTAATATTTTAAAAAGCAAGAAAATAAAGAGAAACTAAAAGCTGTCATGATTATATTTAAGAGAGATTTGCATAATTAACCTTTTTATGATACCCTTTTTCTACAACTACCCTATCTAGGTGTTAATTTTCAAAAATACCATCTTCAATGTATAAAATGACTAAATTACCCTCCTTTATTATAACCCATGATGAAGAAAGAAATATTCTTTCAAACAAAAAGAATATTCCTTCCAACAAAAAGAATATTCCTTCTGAAAAATTTCCCGCCAAAAATTTCCGACAAAAATTTTCCCGCCAAAAATTTTCATCCAAAAAATTTCCGCAATTCCTTAAAAAACCTTGTAAATATTTTTCAATCCCTTAAAAATCCTTTGAAACCCCTTGTAAATCTTTTATAAGTCATCCAAAACCTTTCAAAACTTGAGTAAACCTTTTAAAAACATTGTAAATCATTTTATAACATCTATAAACACTTGTAAATCCCTTTAACCCCTTTATAACTGTGATAAATCATTTAATAAAAACTTTTGTAAACTTCTAAAACCCTTTAAAACCCTTGTAAATCCTTAAAAACCATTTTAAAGAACTTGTAATACCTTTAAAAACTTTTGTAAACCCTTTAAAAAACTTTGTAAACTTCTAAAACCCTTTAAAACCCCATGTAAATCCTTTAAAACTATTTTTAAATCTTTGTAAATATTTTTCAAATATCTTGTAAATCCTTTTAAAACCATTTTTAAATCCTTGTATGCCTTTAAATACACTTGTAAATCCTTTTTAAAACACTTGTAAATCCTTTAAAAAAACCTTTAAAAATTCTTTTAAATTTTTAAAATCATTTAAAAATCCTTGTAAATCCTTTTAAAACTGTTATAAACTTATAAAAACTTTTAAAAACCATTTAAAAACTCTTGTAAGTCCCTTTAAAAACCCTTGTGAACCCTTTTAAAACCCTTGTAAACCCTTTGAAAGACCCTTTAAAAAATCTTGTATACCCTTTGAAAAATTTGGCAGGAAAATTTTGTAAATTTTTTTTTTTGCGGAAATTTTTTTGGGAAAATTTCTTGGCGGGAAAATTTTGGCGGGAAAAATTTTGGCGAAAAATTTTGGGGGGAAAATTTTTGGAAGGAATATTTCTTCATTTAGGAAAGAATATTCTTTCAAATAGGGGTAAAAATGACCATTAAAATTTAAGAGAGGGCAAAAATGAAAATGGCAGAAAAAGAGGGTATTTTTAAAAGAGGGTATCATACAAAAGGTTATTGGTATCAATTTCTCTATATTTAATATAGAAATCTGTCGTAACATAAAAAAAATATGATATCACTATACCTACATCTATAAATTTGTTATCAAACAACAGATTTTTTTTTAAATAAAACTTTAACAAATCTGTCACTAGATTAATAAATCTGTCATAACATGCATAAAAATGGTCTCAACGTAGGTCATTCTAGCAATTTTAGAAAAACTTAAACAAATCTGTTATCAGACAACATATTTTTGGTTAAATTTTAAACTCTGTTGTAACTTTGAACAAATCGGTTATCACTAGACGATAAACTAGTATTTATATTTTTGTTAAAAAAACTGTCATAATATGACTGATTTTTAATGAAAAAATAAGTCTGAAATTACTGTAAAAAAATAATTCTGCCAAATATTATAACAAATCTGTCATATATTATGATATATTATGATAGTCTAAGGTGTGTTTATTAATAAATCTGTCGTAAAAAACAAATCTATCACTAATTATAAATTTATCGTACTTATTTCTAAATAATTTGTCGTCCAAAATAAATCTGCCGAAAAATCTATCATGCCAAAAAAAACATTTCGTTCATAAATAAATCTGTCATAACTAGTCC